AGTAAATCTAGTGCCGGGGCTGGGGTAGGCTTTCATAACTTGTGTCGTTGATGCCGCTAAAGAATACAGCCTTTTTTGAGAGCCCCTCTTCAAATAGCAAGGCGAAACATACCCGAACCAAATGGTTGTTGTAAGCAGTTGGTCAGACTTCCAAAAGGGAGCACCCAAATCTGAAATGGAGGTCCCAGAGATATGCTACTCTCCAAAAAGAAAGCTTGCGGGTCTCTTCCGCATCTTCTCACTTGAGACTGGCCCAAAGTCCAACCTCATTGCCACTCATCTTTCCCGAAAATATGTTGAGGGCAAACACTGTGGACGTATTTGGGTGTGCATCTTCTGGAGGCTACCTGTTTGCGTCTGTAGGGGAAAATATTCGGAGCCTTTTGCTTTGAGCCGGTGCGTGGAGACAAACTCAAGTCATTCCCCGAAACCCACTTCAAAGACCCTTCGAGGCAAAACAACAAAACACGCCGGAGCCTCTTCAGCTGGTTATTTTTGGTTTTGCCTTAAGACCCACCTAAGACCATCCAACAAGCGAGGAAAAAAACACATCTTCAGGTGGTGTCCTTTTGATTTGGCCTTACCACCAAGGGGTCCCGGGACTTTGAGACACCCCCAACGACCCACAGAAACGAAAAGAACCGCCGGGTCCTGCGCCGTCAGTTGCCAGCTTCCGCGGCGAAGGGGCGAGCGCGCCTGGGCTCGCGTGCTTCTGGAGACCTGGTGGAGGTGGAGTGGAACCACCGCAACTTCCCGGAAGACCCTGAAAAACCTGTGGAAACCAACTGGAAGACACTGAAAAACCTGCTGGACCCACCCACCCCCCTCCCCGGAAGATGAATGACCCTTCCGTGACTGGTTTTGCGAAGGAGCCTTTTTGGCCCAACGTTGGAGGCCCTAAGCTGGGCGGAAAGGCGTGCTTTTTTCCTTGACCTAGGTTCGGCGAGGTGGCCCGGACCCAGAAAAGCCGCAGAGGGTTGACCTTTTCGAAGAAATAGACAAGTCCGCAGAAGGTTCACTTTTTGGTTCTCGCAGGGTTGGGGGTTGCTTCCGGGTTTGTTTAGGGCTTGAAGGCAGGTGGCCTGGCCAACGCGCAGGCTTGACGCGAACGACTCCACTTTCACTGGCCCAAAAGGTGAATTTCGAGCCGGGGGGGGGGGACCCAGTCCTCATCTGATCGCCCCAAGGCTCCCGACCACAACCTCGTCAGTCATCCCTCACCTGGCAAAGCCCAACAAAAACAAGCGGGGCCCGGAAAGGAAAAAAACGGCTCGTGGATTACTCAGGTAACTACTCCCCTTCGGAAAAAAAGCGAGCGCGCAGGCACAGCAAGTTCTAGCGGCTGTTCGCTCACCTCCCGTGCCTCAGGGACCCGGAAGCTGACACGTGAGGTCCAAAAAGGCCGATATATATATATATATATGTATGTATGTATGTATGTATGTATGTATGTATGTATGTATGTATGTATGTATGTATATATATATATATATATTATATACATATATATATATATATTATATATATATATATATATATCGGCTTCGGACGGCGCGAACCCATAGCTCGGCGTCTCAGGAAATGTTGTTTGGACACGTGATTGATTCGGCGATCCCAACTCACTGTCTGAGTGGGTTGGCCAAAAATACCCAAACTTTGCATTTACCACTAAAACGGTCTGCCCCAAATTGGCGCTGTCTTGAGGGTTCCCTTTATACCAAGCTGGAAAGGGTCCCTTCAAAAAACATGAGACGAATGGGGGTGGCTTGTTTCGGAGAACTTCTGTCTTGGTTGCTTTTCATCATTTTTGGGTATAGCGATCCACAGATACACCTGGAGTACAAGCGGCCTCTTTTTAAATCCAGCCGTTTCGCTGTCAACGCTGTCTCTAGCCGTCTCACATGTCCGCAAAGGAGTTGCCGGCGCCGTTGTTGTAGACGGACATGGGGTGGCCACGCTTGATGGGGGTCTTGAGCGCGTCGAAGATCGGGTCAGAGGTGTATTCCTTATAGAGCTTCTTCACCTCATCCTTCTTGCCCTCGTCAGCCGCCTCAAGCAGCTGCTCGGCCAGGGTGGAGTACTTGGTGAACAGGGCCGGCTCGTTCCTCCAGTAGCTGTTCAGGAGCTTGAACTTGGGCTCCTTCTTCAGGATGGTCTCCATGTCGCCCTTGTCCACCGCAGCCTGCAGCTTCAGGATCTGCGGGCCATACCTGGTGAGGCAGGCGAGCGGCTCACCCTGCGCATCAGCCCATGCTGCCTGAGTTCCAAGGGTAGCGATCGAGAGGCTGGCCGCCTGCAAAGCTTCCCTCCTGTTCAGACCTGTCGCCACAAATGCGGGTGCCACCGCGTTGTACAGCACGCATGCTGCGCCAAGCAGCACCAAGGCTGCTGACAGCCCGGAGTTGCGCGCCATGGTGGATCAACCGTTGGTACAGGAGCAAGTGAACTGAAAAAACTCTGCGTTGGCATGAACTGATTGCACAGCCAAGGCCACTCAACGTGACTAGAGATGGTCCCCCGAATATGACCAATATTGAGGCTGCCTGGACTTAAGGGACAAGCAAATGAGCAGGCGATGGCCATTTACCCACTTACCAACGAGCAAACAAACAAACGGAGGCCGCGAGGTAGTATCAGGGGTCCAAAAGATACATGGCTGTGGCTCAGAAAGCCGGAATTCCAAAATGGAACCCTGGCAAGTGGAAGCATGCAAAGCATGCACCAAGAACTGCGTCACCCCTGTTCAATTTTGAGCCACACCCTCTAAGATGTGCTGTGGGAAGTTTTCTTTGGAGCTTCGACTCCAAGGAGCCCATCTGTGCCGGTGGGTTGCCCCGCCGTCACTTCGAACCAGCCCCCAGCGCTAAGTTGCCACCGGAAAGGCACGCGACACGTCCCAGCCTTGCGAACCGGGGACCAGCACCTGGAGCTCCGCCGAGCTGAGGCACGTGTCTGGGAAAGGGGGGGGGGGGTTCTGCATGGGGGTCCATGTTTGTGGCTCGATACTTTGGGGTTGACGAGAAAGCAAAGGGAAACCCTCGAAAGTTGCTCAGTTCCTTTTGGGATTCCAGTGGTTGAAAATTCTGATTAGCTGCGGGAAGTGAAAACAATTCCAGTCATAGGGTCACCCCTCCCTGCCCCACCCTTTCCCCCGTTGCCTCCAAGGAATCATCCACCACATGGACCCCTTAGCTTCATGCATCTCCCATATGGCGGAGTTCACAGCCAGTCGCCAGCTCGGGCTCATGAGCACACCATGCGGAAAGACGCCCTCTCACGGCACTCATGAATATGTGATTTCGCCACTTTATCCCAGAGACAAAGTTTCCAAGCAGAACTAGAGGCGTATATCTGTGTGCAGCGTGCAATGAGCCAGAAGCTCAAGCCAGGAAGGAGATCGGCCCTCAGCTTCAATCACATCCCTGTGTGAGCCATGGTCATTGTTTTGAAAAAAAACGAAATCGTTAAAGTTATTCGCCCTTTGTTCTCATCTACCGCTAACACTCTACATTCCAATATCTTGCCCTGGTTGCTTGAAATGGCAAAATGATTGATGACCATCCCCACTGAATCCGAGTCAAGGGATCTGTGACCATGATCCATTTTAGTTGCTTCTGAACGGGGGAACCCGAGCCACTACAGTCTAATGGTGACTGGTGACAACATTCAAGGCCACTAGGGGTTACAGGCAATAGCCTTCCCCTGCCCTAAACCCTTTGGAATCTCATCAGCCCTTCGCCCGGCCAAACCTGCCTGGAAGTAAGTCATGCCCCGCCGCGCGGCGCAAAGAGAGTCAGAGAGCCGCGCTTTGTTTCTCACCCGACCTCGGCCGCACAGACGCGAACCTTGGTCTCTTGCTGAAAGAGAACCATGTCTTCTTTTTTTCTGCCCCCCCCCCCCTTTTTTGCGGCACCCATTTCCTCCCCCCTGCCCCCCCACCCCCTCCCCGTTTTTGCGACACCCATTTCCCCGTTTGAAAGATATACGCATTCAAACTCCGGAGGCTTCCTTTACCGGGCAGAAGTCTTCTTGCCGGTAAGATAGATCCACTGATTGATACCCTCTCAACATGGAAACTGACTGGAGGTCTCTGGTTTAATGTCTCAAATTGGCTACTCTCAACATGGAAACTGACTGGAGGTCTCTGGAAGTCAATGTTGCTCTAGGGACCTTCTGGAACCTTCCATGTTAGTTGCTGAGTGCACAATTGTCTGAGACAGATGATGGCTGAATGGGTTCATGTTGGTGTGTCTCTTTTTGAGGGTACGCTTTTGAGGTGGTGTTGAAGGGAATCTAAACGGAAAGCACTAATTGTGTGGCTTCCCTCAAAAGAAAGACAAATTGTTTTTCTTCCCAGGCAAACAACCGGTGGCGAAGATGCCAGGCCCCTCTGATTTTGTCGAACGATACCCTCCCACCCACTACAACATAGGGCCCACCAGCAGGGCCCGAAAGAATTGGTTGTTTCATGTTGGCGGATGGTCATCTCAAGAGTAACTTGTTGAGCGAAAGCCGTATCATGCCCTGAATTGCACCAGTACATCATGCTGAACGCTGATCACTGGCCAAGCGATGTCCAAACAGCTGGAGACGGTTTCTCACGCCAGGCCCGTCAAAAAAGTCTCGTGCTGGCCTTTCAGGTTCGCAGATCCAACGTTGCTCTGGCGCACTGCATGAAATGGCTGTCTCACATGTCCGCAAAGGAGTTGCCGGCGCCGTTGTTGTAGACGGACATGGGGTGGCCACGCTTGATGGGGGTCTTGAGCGCGTCGAAGATCGGGTCAGAGGTGTATTCCTTATAGAGCTTCTTCACCTCATCCTTCTTGCCCTCGTCAGCCGCCTCAAGCAGCTGCTCGGCCAGGGTGGAGTACTTGGTGAACAGGGCCGGCTCGTTCCTCCAGTAGCTGTTCAGGAGCTTGAACTTGGGCTCCTTCTTCAGGATGGTCTCCATGTCGCCCTTGTCCACCGCATCCTTCAGCTTCAGGATCTGCGGGCCATACCTGGTGAGGCAGGCGAGCGGCTCACCCTGCGCATCAGCCCATGCTGCCTGAGTTCCAAGGGTAGCGATCGAGAGGCTGGCCGCCTGCAAAGCTTCCCTCCTGTTCAGACCTGTCGCCACAAATGCGGGTGCTACCGCGTTGTACAGCACGCATGCTGCGCCAAGCAGCACCAAGGCCGCTGACAGCCCGGAGTTGCGCGCCATGGCGAGTCAGCCTTGAAAAGGGGCAACTGACCTTGGCTGGAAAAAGACTGTTGGCGGCATTTTGATTGCAAAGTTCCCAGCATTGTTGACATGCAATATGTTGCATCTTCATAGAGATCCCCTGGGTTTCCCTGAGAACATCAACAAGTGTGGGATATTTAGCACCCAGTACCGCTGGATGTTCTGCCCAGGACTAGTCAGTCTCGGTGAGTTGGACAGGTGGGCATTTCAGGGTTGCAACACATCTCATGTCCAAGATGGTCAAAGTGGCACTTTGGTCCCAATGAAAAGAGCAACCGTGAAAGAAGGTCTCCTTGCCGTCTCTTGCAAGAGCCTTACCAATCGACCCAGTTGCTGCCTGGGTTCCAGTACCTGCCCGAAAATCCCTGGAACCACTCCCCTGATCGTTCGGCTGAGTGCTCCGCTCGTGCCATTCTCGCCTCGCCGCAAGGGCTGAACAAACAACAAATCGGGGCGTCGTGGCCATCTGGCCGTCCACATTCATGTTTTATGCCTTGATGGCGCCCGGTTCACCTTTGTTTAAAGGAAGCCAAGAGCGACACGAAAATGTCTTGGGGGGCTGTGTCAAAACTGAGGGAGGGGGGGGGAGCGTCTTCGAGACGGGACACTATGCAAAAGGAAACCTATTTGAAAAAGTGCCTGGATCTGACTGACCAGCCAGACTTGCAGAGCCAAATGTCCCAAAAGCCAGTGTCCAATACCCGGTCTCCAAAAGCAGGTTCCAGTACATAACCAGCTATGACCCCCGTGTGCACAACGAGCCACAGCCAAAACCCACGGTGCTGCGACGCAAGACCCTTCTGCTTGGTATCTTGCAGGAAAAGTGTCGAAGCATTGGGTCGAATCCACGACCGGGTTCAGTGAAACGGAACGCCACTTGGAATGAAGATGAAGCCGAGTGAGATGGCAAGCACAACAAGACCCTACAAGGGACCCTCTCGGCAGTTGCATGTTGGTGGATGGGGGTATCTGTCTCCATTTGATCATGGTTCCCCTGGATTAATCGTTTACTTCAAGGTCTAGTGAAGTACGTCTGTTTCAGCCTGAGGTAGAATTACCCATGCCCAGTGTAACCCCCAGTCAGGCTCCAGGTTAGTGCGTGGAAGGGTAACCGCGGCCACTGTGCGACATGCCTCAACTGGCCGACTTTTTATACGCCGGCATAGGGGCCATGCCTACTGCCCAACACATCGATTCAGAAAACCCAGGCGACTTAGAGGTCACACACAGTCCAACTTCTTCGCTTTTTGTTGTGCTTCCCGCACAGCCAGGCCTCCCACGGGCGGAAAGGCCGTGCCGAAAACACCATCGCCTCAGGCAGTTTTGAGACCTGTTCCAGTCGCAAACCCGAGTCAGAAGCTGGGGCATTCACCTAGAGATCCCCTTAAAAACCACCAGTTGGATGGTTCACAGAAACTATTCCCTCATTTCCTGCAAGCAAAAAGAGACTCCCGCGATGCTTTCGTTGAGCATTCATCCGATTCTGAGAGCTGATTCAGCCCAGGAGCTTTCCGACTTGGCCAATCTCCACCGCTCGCCGACGAGAGAGAGGAGTCGCGCAACGGCGCGCTGTTTGGGAAGCTAAGGCGCGCGTGCGCTCGTGGAGGAGTAAACAAGTGTTGGTAGGGTCTGCCCTCAGATCCCCCGCTAAAAGTGACTAACTCTTCGTGGGTTACATGGAAACCACTAAGCACTAAAAGGCTAAAAGGCTAGGGGGATGGCTGGGAGCCACCAAGGCAGGGTCTGCTTGTCTGAGCACAGCAAAAGGCGTTGCATGTGAAACTTTGTTCCATCAGCCTGATGTACTGTGACGTCACAGCAGAAAGCCGGAGGGCAGGGCAGCGTCTCAGTGCCCGAAGTCCCCAGATCCTTTTGCGGCAACCGCAAAGCCTCCCCGGAACCTTGCAAATCCCTATGTGTCTTTTTGAGGGCACCTGTCCGGTGCGGAAACAAGGGAAAAACACCCATTTTGGGGCTCCCCAATTTTGAGACAAACCCATATATGTTCTCTTTTGTGTGTGGTTGCGGAGTGTGCTGCTTGCTGAAAGCGCAACTTCCCTGAGACACCGCAAATGGGTCTGTCTACTTTTGAGGGTACCCCTTTGTTGGTGGGAAATCGAAAGGACACCAACCATTTGGCGCTTCCCTAAAAAGGACACACCCAGACCACAGAAAGGTTCTGATTGCGGCAAGGCATTATCTGGGGCTATCGTGTTAGCAACCATAGCCGCCTTGCACAATCCTTTTAGCCCAGTGGCTGAAAAAAGGCTGTCCACCCTTGGTGGGTGATTGAAAGGGAGACCCACCAAAATATGAGAACTTCACCCCCAGAAAAAGATTTCACATGGAAAACGGGGATGCCACAGCTGCATTTGTACTGCAAAACTCAGGGCTTTTGCCTTGATTCAAACTGATCAGAGTGTGACACTTGGAAGATGTGATATGCTTGTCGAGAGGTTACAATAAGGGTACCCTTATTCTGTAGTCTACTGTAGTAGGGGAAGCCTCCCCCCAAAAAAGAAATGGCAAAAGGGCACTACTGGGGGGACCCAGAGACAAATGCCCGACATGCCACATGCTGCCCGACCTTCCGCTCCCGTGTTGGCCCCGATCTCCCCTTTCCACAGTGCAAGAGGTCCCTAAGCCAGGGGCCGTCGCCAACGCGTTCCCTAATGTAAGGGGCCACAGAATTACACCCCATGATCAAGAGATAGGTTGGCTTCATACCGTCTAACTCTTTACTATTTGGGTGCGTGTCAAACTAGGGGGAAACCAAGACCCCAAACAATGGTCATATTATTCAATATTCGTCCTAGTTTCGCAAACAAGAGCCAACCTGAAAGGGGCACCGAGCCTCCAACAAACAACCCCCCCCCCCATTTTTCCGCCCCGCTCACTCCACGTCCGTTCGTCCCGTCGCCCGCTCCTTTTTTCCGTCAGGCGAAGACGGCGAAAAGCAGCGCCTTGTCATCGCGATCCATGTCCACAGAGCAGCCAAGGCCTGCAAAGGGAAGCGACTGGAGCATACATGTTTTTCTCTTTTGTTGCTTGTGTTGCTTGTAAGGGCCTAAATACTTAGAATCCGGCTTTAGCGGACTCCTCAAAACAAACTTTAGTGGTTCTGGGAGGAAACTACTCATTGGTTGGACCCGTATATTACGAAGGGTTCTCAAAATACCCCCACCCACAGGAAACTCACCGTTTTTCGTGGCACAAAAGGTGATTTTCCAAACCGCCTTTTGAGGGGAAATGCAGGAAGTGCGGGCGAACCTCAAACTCCGCCAGGTGGTGGGAAATTCTTGCTGCTTGAACTGGAAAAGGACACCCAAAAGGTGAGGGTACCAACTGTCCTTTTTCTTTCTCCGACCCGTCTATTTTAGACCACAGCCCCCTCCCCCCCAAAAAAGAAGAAACGGCGAGAGTTGGCAATTCCTGGGGGACCTAAAGCTCCCGAACCCCGAAGGATCCGAAGACCCCCGGACTTCTCGTGGGAGTCGAGTCCTCAGGCCCAGGCCCACAACTCGGGCGGCCGGCCAGTCCTCTTGGCCCGACCTGGCGGCCGGTGGTTCTCGGGGCTCCCTCCCCCTGCCGCGGGCCCCGCTTCAAAAAGAAGAAGAAAAGAACGGCCCCTTGTTGATCCTTTCAATAAGCCCCTTTCTAAGCCCCTTTCCTTTCAAAAAAAAGGGCGGAGCAAGATTTCAATAAGCCCCTTTTTGATCCGGTGGTCCAAGTTGTTAACAGCCATGCCCTCAAAAAAAAAAAAGATGCCCTCCTGCCAACAATGAAGCCCTTTCTAAGGCCAACTCAAGTCAAAAAAAGTCGGTGCTGCTCAGTTGAACAAATTATTTTCAGGACGCTCTCTGAAATGAAACAGGACCCTTTGGCAGCTTCACCAACATGAAAGCGTTGCCTTGGAGGGGCTGATTCCTGTCTGACGCATAATTCACAGCTCAGGAATATCGATATGGGCTTGTCTCAAAATGTGGGAACCCAAATTGGCTTCCATGTCTTGTTGGCTTCCCTTTGAACCAACCCAAAGAAGGTACTCTCAAAAGAACATAAACCCATATCCAATGGCGTGCTGCCAAGCCTTTGGTCCACTTCACTTCAGGAGAACAATAAACCACAGCGAGTCCCCGTTTGGCCAGACGTGGACAGACCATCCTCACCATCATCATCACCACATCCGTAACTTGTCTTGCTCCTCCTCATCATCATCCGCACCAGCACCAGCACACACGGCTTTCCATCTGGATTCCCTTTGAACAGCAGCCACCCGTGAATCGCCTCAAATTTGGGCGTGTCTCAACATAGGAAGCCTCAAAAAATGGTTGCCTCGTCGTTTCCACTTTGAACTCCCTTTCAAACCCCAAAAAGACTGCCCTCAAAGGACGTTGTTGCTTGCTTTTTTAAAGGGAAACCCAACAGGAAAACCACCATTCTGGGAGGGCTCTCCTATAAAAAAAAGACCCCCGCGGCTTTGCGCTACAAACCGGCGCCCTCCTCTCTTCGATTGGCGCCCCCGCCACTCCGCGGCGGTGGTTTCCGCAAGGCTCTGGAGGGAGACCTGACGAATCCAGCCGCGGGGCGGAAAACCAATGATGTTTGGGGGGTTGGGGTACCATAAAACTGACTTTCCCCCCCCCCCCAACTAACATGGAACCTGACGTTCTTTTGGGGCTCCTGTAAGACAAGTGTCCTTTTACTTACCACAGCCAAAACCTGACGTTCTTTTGGGCGTCCTGGCTTGGACCACGTTCCCTTTCCATGTTAGTTGGTGGGAGGGTAAGTCATGAAAAGAAATTTGAGAGTTAGGCCCTTGTAGTACTGCAGTTGGGCCTGTTCGAGAGGTCCAAACAAATCGGTTCCTTTCGAACGCCACATGGTGGGGCTTTGGTGCAAGCTCGCCTTTTGGCTGAATGGATGGATTTGGAAAATGGCAAACATCGCCAAGCTGAAAGTAGTTGAATCCATCTATCTTCAACCGAGCTGACCTAAAAAAAACGCCTACGCTAAAGAACATCCTCCAAAGCTGGTACCTGTGATATTCCAGATGGCCTACATGTATTCTTTGAGCAACCCTGAAGTATCCCAGCTGCAGCCAGTGACCTCCATGCTCTAGAAAACAATAGGAACCTTTTTGGCCGTGGTCGATTTGAACTCATTTTTGGTGAACTTTTTTGCTTGGTACGGGGGTCTGTCGTGTTTTGAGGTGGTGGTTTTGAAGTCAAACCAAAGGGAAATCCACTTTTTTTAGGGGGGGGGTGTCCCTAAAACCGCTCCGCAAAAGACAAGTTTCTCAAGGGGTCACATTTCAACCCCTGTGCCTATGTGACCTTTTGGACAAAGTAGATAACTCTAACCAACTTCTCAACAAACAGGGTTCCCTGCATGTCCACCCAAACATCGCCCCATTGAATGTTTTCAGAAGTTCACTGTCCACAAAACAAGTGGATGTCTTGTAAACGCCAAAAACCAACGGGGACACCGATGTGGGTATGTCTCAAAACTGGGACCAGCTCCTGGCCGGTGTCCGGGAAAATGTGCAGCTTTGGGCGCCGTGGACCGAGTGTCGCCTTCACACATGGAACATGTGAAGGCATGCCGCCCCGTCCTTTGGACTTCCCCTTCAAATCCCGAGCGGATTCCGAAACAACTACATTGTGGCAGCTTGAGCCAGGGTGCATGGTCTGTGTTTCCATTTGCCAGGGATCCTTATACTATACACCTGAACATTGCCTTGTACATGGTGGTTTCTCTTTATTTTGGTGTTGAAAAAGCCACATGTTTCAAACGGTTGCAAAATGGAGATCTTTTAAGGAGCCCTGTTTGCCAAGGGGCCATTTTGGGGATCCCCCGTTTTCCGAGCACCCGAAGCTTCCGAAGCTTTTCCAAAGCAAGCCTCCGAAGCTCGGCGCGAGCGCGCCTCGTAGGCCTTCTCCTTGGGAGCCATGGTGAAGAAGGCGGGCGCCTGAGGAAAATCGCTGGCATCCTGAGACGGGTTGATATTTGGACGTGGCTCGCAGGGGCTGTTTGCCAAAAATCGCGCATGGTTAATTAATGGGAGGCGTTTGTTGTTTTTTGAGATACTGTGGGATGGTTGCGAAGTCCATTTCGCAATTCCGTTCAGAAATGCTGGAAGGAGTCGATTCCCCAACGTAAATACCAACAAACAATGGCTTCGGCTTCAACCATGGTTTCATTTCGTGGTGCGAACGGATTCTGTCCATGCACATGGAAGTGCTCACAGGGGTTCGACAAAAATCGCATGGTTATTAGGAGGTTTTACGGACATAGTTCAAAGCTCAGGGACAAACATGGGCGAAATGGACCAACCGCAGTTTCTGGACAAAACACGGGACAACTTTGTGGGTTCCTTGAGACCGACAAACATGGGCCACAGCCAAATCGGGCCCTTGGATAGGCGGTAGGCGTTTGTGGGTTGGCCAAATATGTATTTATATTTAGATATATTATTATGTATTTATGTGTCTATCTATATATATATATATATTTATTCATTTACACATGCATACATGCATGTATGTGTGTTGATATGTATGTATGTATGTATGTATGTATGTATGTATGTACGTATGTATGCATGCATGCATGCATGCATGCATGTATCTATGTATGTATGTATGTATGTATGTATGTATGTGTGTGTGTGTGTGTGTATGTATGTATGTATGTATGTATGTATGTATGTATGTGTGTGTATGTATGTACTGTATGTATGTATGTATGTATGTATGTATGTATGTATGTATGTATGTATGTATGTATGTATGTATGTATGTATGTATGTATGTATGTATGTATGTATGTATGTATGTATGTATGTATGTATATGTGTGTATATGTATGTATATGTATGTATATGTATGTATATGTATGTATATGTATCTATGTTTAAGAGATGTTTATGGCCACAGGCTTGGGGTGGGTAAAACAATTTTTTCATTTTTTTTCATTTTGGGTGTTGGTTTTATTTGGGTACACATTTACATGTTTTTTTCATTCTGTTTTTGGTTTTCATTTTTTTTTCATTTGTATCTGGGCGAGTTCCTTGTGCTTTTCACCCTGAGCTTGTTGTTTGCTGAAACCTTATTTGTGCAGAGCCTTGCTTTGCTGCACAGAGATGATCCAAGCGAGTCACTTGGCATTGTCGGCTTGCAGAGCAGTTGTGCAGTAACCAGGCTGCTATTGCTGGCAAGGTAGTGGCTAGATAGCTGCCAGCCGCTTTGCCGCCATGAGTTGCTGGGATGAGATCTTTGAAGACAGAAGAGATGGAGTCTGCTGACCGCTGCCGGTCAGAGTCGGATTGCGAATCCGACATAGTCGTAGAGCCAGAAGCCTTGGCTGCCGGCATGTGGTGGCTCGACCTTCTTCGGGAAGCCCTCGAAGCACACGGTCATCCTTGGCCGAGCGCGCTGGCTGACACCCCCAGGCTACACGTGGCGTCCGCTTGCACTGGGTGTAGCGCAGAAAGCGCTGCTCTGACAGCGACTTGTCTGTGAAATTAAGTGGTAGCTTTATCCGTTTAGCCCTATCTAGCTCTCAATTGTGTTGAGTTGTTTTTCGGTGGAACTCACAGCGTTCAAGGGTCAACAGAGTGCCGGCCAACAGTCGAACGACACAGTTGCTGCGACTGCTGTCCATGTCAAGCAGCCCAGAGTTGCACACACAAAGGTGCACACACATTGCAGGGTAGAGACCCAGGGCTGCCAAGAAACAGTTTAACTCAAAAGGCCCGAGCTGAAACGCGCATGGAAAACTTGCGTGTGCAAAGGCTTTGGGGGTGGACTTTGCTGCGCTGTCGGCCTCGGAGATCGTGCCCAGCTACCGCAACTTCTGTGACTTGAACTACCCAGGGAAGTTCTTGCACTTCTACAGCAGCATTGAGGAGCAAGCAGCAGGAAGCTCGTGCTGCTGCTTCTGCAAGGGGGGGCTTCAAGACAAACTTCATGGCTTTTGCGACCCCTTGGCCAACGATGGCTTCAGGGACACCGTGCAAGTTCTTTTTTCAGGGAGCCCGTGTGACCCCTTTTCGCAACAGAGGGCAAAGCGATTTGGCGATGGATCCGTGGCCAGTCACTACCAGTTCGACACAACGATGCGGCAGGTATGCGCTCTCTATATGAAGTATGAACCAGAAGTGGGGGTCTTCGAGCAAGTGTTTGGGTTTACCATGCCTTTTGTCAAGGGGGGCACCGAGACCCCCAAACAAAGGCCGGTTGTGGATTGGGTTGGGCGGGGATTGCAAGTACGTCGTTTCTGAGGCAACATGAGCTGAGCTCAAAGCGTCTGAAATTTGACTGACTAAAACTTGGCTCAATGTATTTCCATTTGCCCTGTCAGGTTCTTGGACATCATGGCTGCGCAGCCTTGGTCCCACGGCGGATACTGGGTTGCAGCCATGCGGCTGCAGGGAGAAGCCTTCATCAAGGTCCTCCGCACTAGGCCCGGCCTGGCCGCATTGCTTGGTGTGTAGGGGCTCAGGTCCGAGCTAGATTGTCATATGCTTAGCCGGACGCAAGCGCAGGCAAGTGCGCAAGACTCATGAGACAATTTGCCTGGGGTCAGACAAATTCACGTTCAAAGTAAACATTGAAATTCCATTGAAAGGCTGAATGTGTGAATCCGTATATGAACCCCCGATATGAACCCCTGGCTTCAGCTACGGCTTTTTAAGGGACACCACCACCAAAATAAAACGGGTTCATGTACGGACGCGTGCAATCAGCGCGCATAACATTTGCCCAGGCTCAAATGTTGGAATGGTGCGCTATCCAAGTGCCTTTGCAGCTAAGGAAAAACCAGAACAACACAACGCAAAGTAGCGTGGTAGCAGGTTCGAAGAGGAGTGCAGCAAACCCTAGGCAACAGGTAGCAGGTAGCAGGTAGCACTGCGGCAAAGCGCTGGCCAGCATTTGGCTTCCAGCCATGGCTTTATCGTTGCTTGATGCGTGCTAGGTTTCCATATGCAAAACTCGGAAGAAACAGAATTGTTTGCGGATGACTGGGGCGAACTCTTTGATGAAGAACGTCGAGAATTCGCAGCCAGCCATACGCAAACGCAGCGAAAGAGTCGGCGGCCTGCTGGCTCATTTGGTGGCAGCGTTCTGCGGGAGCGCATGCTTCAGGTCGAAGCTGAGCAACAGGCAAACGCGAGACCGGCGCATGAACTTGCAAGGGCTGCCTTCCTCCGGAACGTGTCTGAGCGACGGTCGGAACAAGTTGATATTGGGGCATCAGGCGCAGATGTTTCAGCTGAACGGGATCGATTGCTTGTGCAGTTTGGGCGGCCAGGGGATTTTGAGTTTATAGGGCATGGTGTGCAAAAGGCTATATTTCAGGCAATGACCCATTTTATGACTGCGCACAAGATTTCGCCAACAACTCCGCACACTGAAGACGCCGCATGGTATGACCCTTTGGTCGACCGCCAGCTCAACGGCAGTTTGCACAACATGAGCTTCAAAGCGCTGGCAGACCTTGTTCGAGAGTCAAACCCAGGTAAGCGCACGCTGTCCATTGCCTCTGCCATTTTGGAAACTGGCTTCTACTTGTGGGGATTGTTGCTATGCTTTGTTTGCAGGTTGGTGATTTCTGGAAGGAGTGCTGCAGCCAACACCAGCGCTGACGTTTGGAGGCCAATCCTTTTCCTGTTCAAGTTGAGGTACGATGAGACACCGACAAAAGTCAGAGTTGCTGACCCACAAGATTGGCGGAACGCGCTGAACACAGCTGGGGCTGGGGCAAACGCCGGCAATGCTGCGCCGGCTGATGCACATCAAGCTTCCCTTCACGCGAAAGTACTTCAGACAGAATTTTCTATGGGTTTCTTGCTGCACAATGCTACCTCAGGCAAATTTACTTGGGTGACTGGTCAAGTACCTACTTGTTTGACTGCCATGCAAAACACCACTGGGGAAACAACTTTCAAGGTGTTGATGGAAGTGATTGACAGCATTCCTGAACTGCGACGAGCTGGGAATGAGTTCAAAGTACGGGTGAGGCACACTTGTTGTGATGGCTACTCTGCCAATGTGAAGGCAGAGAGACTCATCTCTCAGCATCTGGCCGAGCATCAGTTTGACTTTGTGAACACTTTTTGCGATGTTCATAAACTGTGTTCGTGCACGAAAGTAGCTATGACTGCAATCGAGTCTGATGTCACGGGTATGTTGAATGTTGCTCTGTCAATGGCTGGTGATTTGAACGCTGTGTCGAAGTTGCAGCAAATGTTTGGTCAAATTTTGTCTCGCAAGCTGGCGATCACCTTTGAATGCCCTCCTGAAGGACGCGTTGAGAAGTTTAGGTTGGAGCTCTTTGATGCCTTCCTCCCACTTCAAGGCGTGACTCCCGCGAGAAAGAAACAACACATGAAGCGAAGGTATATCATTGGGTACTTCTTGAATGGCCCTCTCTTTGACCATAACACTGTACATCACTATTGCCAATATGGATGCTGCACTTCTCCCGAGGCCACTTTGACATTTATGAGCACTTTTCTGGCGTGGGCTTTGTGTCCTACAAAAGTCCCTAGGTTCGCAAGGAGCCGCTGGACCAAGTACGATGACGCAATTGATCATTTGGGACTTCTTGCGGGGGCTCACAACTTGCTTGAAGACCTAATTTTGTTGTACGTTGGCGGCGTTGCAGCGACTCCTGGCCAAGGGCAATCTGACCAACCCCAAGCCAAAGCTGTAGCGCCGGACAACAGAGAGAACCAATGGCAACAACTTTATGATGAGGTTGAAGGGCGACCAGCCATTGCACATGGCCCAGAACCAGAGCCCAACGCAGACCAACAAGAGGAAGCAGCCGAACAGAACATGCCCCAACATGTCACGCAGTTTGATCTACAACGTGATGAAGAGGGGGGGGAGCAGTTGGAGCCCGATCAGCCGAAGTTGTTGGACACAGGCGAAGTGGATTGGGCGACTTTCAACCGACAAAAAA